TTTGAGTTGTTCGCCGCCCTGAGTCCCTCCCGGAAAAGGGCGGCATATAAATAAAACAAATCTAAATCTAATCTAAATCTAATGAGCATTTTGCACATAATCTGCATTATTTTAATATACTTGATTTACAATGTATGTTGCATTACAAGTGTTTTACAATGTACACTGCATGAACAAATAACTGAGATAATAAACCAGATGTAAATTTTAAGCAGAAATAATTAAAAGAAAAAAGAAAAAAAGTATCCTTGGCAAACAATTTAAATTATTTGAAGTATCATTTTATTATATATTTATGCATTATATTTCAACTTTCCTCCATAAATAGAACATAATATAGCATTCTTTCTCTTTATCTCTTTTATCTTCCTTTTTGGCTAAAGCAGGCTGCTATAAAACAAGTGGTTTCTAAGTGAATGGGCCTATGAACTTGGGTTTAGTCTGACACTAAACTTATAACAAACAGATTTCAGGTTATTCAGTAAGGATTGTCATAGTTGTCACTGAGGAATGCAAAGGGAGCATTTCAAAGTTGAATGTGATAAAAAAGGATCAGACAGGCTTTCCCTCACAAATCTGTGTAATGCTATTTCCAGAATTTATGGTGCGATATTGTAGGCAACGAAGAGCAATGGCTTAGCCTGGAAGGGGTCCAAACTGTACATCCCTGCGGGGTTGAGGCTGAAAGTTCTACAGGAAGCCATGATGCGAAACTAGGAGGCCACTTTGGGTTCCTTAAAACGCTCCACCTCGCCAGGCATCAATTTTGGTGGCCAAAGATGAAATCGGAGGTGGGAGATTATGTAAAAAGCTGTGCTACTTGCAATGAAAGCATGTCCGGGGAAGCCCCCTGGACTACTACAACGAATGGCCAGCCCTAGCCGACCATGGGAAGAGATTGCAATGGACTTCATTAACGAGCTCCTAGACAGCAGCGAGAATAGAATAATCTGGACAGTTATTGATTTGTTTTCCAAGCGGGCTCATTTCATCGCTTGCTCAGGGTTGCTGTCTGCAAAGAAATTAGCAAAAATGTTTGTGAAACACATTTATTGCCTGCATGGGGTGCCCAAGAAATCATTTCAGACTGTGGAGTTCTTAATCATAAGATTAAGAATGCCTAGCAAGAAATTTGGCCCAAAATTTCTAGGTCCATTTCAGAAGCTTTCAGATTTGGGTTTTCACAGATGTGCCAATATGACTCTCTTAATAAATTTGAACTTTGAGCAATACTTTGCTTTGGACTCTGATTTAATTTTGGATGTTATTTGGAATATGACATAACTGCTCTTGATTGATGCAGGAACAACTTTGCATGAATAAATTAGGTCCCTCAGAAATAACAAGTGTGAACCTTTTGTGTGTTGCAACTTTAAGATTAAAAACTCCATTTTGAAGCCTAATTGCAACTAATGGATTCAAAATGGCCTTTGAACAGTGTTAATTTTAATAATGAATAACAATCTTTAAAATATAGCATTTGATTTATTTTTTTGGAAAGCTAGCAAATTCCATTCTAGACATCAGATTTTACACATGAGGAAATTAGTTATTTTTTAGTAAGATCTCTTTGCTGTTGGATGCAGCAGAGGGCAGGATTTTTCTACATTATGAAAACACCATGAGTGTCAACTCATTTGTAACTGTGATGTTTATTTTTTAAAAAAAGTTAGATTTACAGTACAACAATACCAGTGTTTATTGTTTCATTTCCTTATTGCTGTGTTTCTTGCATTTTTCTCCATGAAAGAACAGATAAAATTGTAATATCAAGCAGATAACTAACACCAAACTTCCCAGGAGTAGTCTCTTATCTTGTTTAAATAGAAATATATAAACAGTTTGTTGATAACACTCTAGGAAATATAACTTCCTGCGGGTCTGGAAGAGAAGGTTCAAGATGTCTTTTGCAAGTATGGCCAAGGCCTTGCATGTTTTCCATCTGCTGTAATATGAAGCAGTTTGCTACAGAATGTAGCAATAGCAATAGCAATAGCAGTAGACTTATATACCGCTTCATAGGCCTTCAGGTCTCTCTAAGCGGTTTACAGAGAGTCAGCATATTGCCC